CTGTGGTAGCCACCCCCGGCATCTCCTGTGCAGCCAGGAAGGGGTGGCTGGGTGACTGTCCGAAGGAGGAATAGTCGTAAGCATTCAAAGTCCACGGGTCATCACCAACCTGTTCACGTTTCTAACAGATTTTCCCCACTCAGCGACACAGCTCCATTTTGAGAAACGTGAAGTTAGCGAAGCCAGCGGCCATAGTTAAGTGCATCCCTGGGGCCAGAGCAGGCGACATTGAGTCTTATTTGAAACTGCTGGCTAAGGATAAACGTAAATACAGTAAGATTGTTCTTCACTTTGGCGGTAATGACTCCCGGTTACGCCAATCGGAGGTCACTAAGATAAATGTTGGGCCAGTGTGTACATATGCAAAAACAATGTCGGACACCGTAGTTTTCTCTGGGCCCCTGCCAAATCTGACCAGCGATGACATGTATGCCGCATGTCGTCATTCCCCCGCTGGTTGTCGAGGTGGTGTCCAGCAAATGATGTGGGCTTTGTAGATCATTGGCAGACTTTCTGGGGAAGACCTGGTCTGATCCGGAGAGACGGCATTTCTAGAAATCTGGCCAAGTTTATTAGTGACCAAATCCATGACAACCCAGAGTTGCAGTCTAATACACTTCTCTGCTCCTCCATTTCAGGAGTTACTTAGTGGAAATCCTATAGTGACGTGTCTGCCCCCCGACCATCGAAATTATTTAAATCAAAGGTAAACAGAAGAGGAGCTGTGCATAAAAACCTCGTAAAAATTAAAACCACAAGAGCAATAGTGCAAACCAATAGGAAAATTAAATGTGGACTCTTAAACATCAGATCTCTCTCTTCTAAAGGTGTACTAGTAAATGAACTAATATCAGATTATGATATTGATTTATTTTGTCTTACTGAAACCTGGCTGGGTGATGGAGAATATGTTAGCCTAAATGAATCAACCCCTCCCAGTCATTAAAACTCACATTCCTCGAGGCACAGGCCGAGGAGGTGGAGTTGCAGCTATCATTGACTACTAATCAGTTCTAAACCTAAACTAAACTATAACACATTTGAAAGTCTTGTTCTTAGTCTTTCGCACCCAAGTTGGAAATCACTGCAACCAATTATTTTCGTTATAGTGTACCGAGTTCCTGGCCCGTATTCTGAATTCTTATCTGAATTTGCAGAGTTTTTGTCAACTTTAGTCCTTAAAATGGACAAAGTTATTAGTGTAGGGGATTTTAATATTCATGTGGACGTTGAGAATGACAGCTTTAGTACGCGTATCTCTCTGTTAGATTCCATTGGCTTCTCTCAGAGTGTTCATGAACCGATTCACTGTTTTAACCACACCCTCGACCTTGTTTTGGTATATGGTATTGAAATTGAACATTTAGTGGTGTTCCCACAGAATCCGTTTTTATCAGACCACTGTTTAATAACGTTTGAGTTTGTATTCCTGAACTACACGCCATTGGGAAAAAATTTCTATACAAGATGTCTGTCTGATAGTGCTGTAGCTAAATTTAAGGATGCGATTCCATCAGCTCTATATTCATTATCAAGTCACAAAGTAACAGAGGACTCCTATGCTAATTTCAGTCCCTCCCAAATCGATCATCTTGTTGATAGTGCTGCAGGCTTGCTGCGAATGACACTCGACTCTGTAGCCCCTCTAAAAAAGAAAATAATAAAACGAAGACGGTTAGCTCCATGGTATAATACTGAAACTCGCAAATTAAAGCAAATATCACGGAAACTTGAGAGGAATTGGCGTTCCACCAAACTGGAAAATGCTCATTTAATTTGGCAAGATAGTCTTAAAACTTATAGGAAGGCCCTCCGTAAGGCCAGAGCAGCGTACTACTCGTCATTAATAGAGGAAAAGAGGAACAACCCCAGGTTTCTTTTCAGCACTGTAGCCAGGCTGACAGAGAGTCACAGCTCTATTGAGCCAAGTATTCCCATAGCTCTCAGTAGTTACGACTTCATGAGCTTCTTTAATGATAAAATTCTAACTATTAGAAACAAAATTCACCAAGACCTGCCCTCAACTGGCACCGACTTATCTCCAAACTCAGGAACCTTAGAAACAGCTGTAATACCAGATATATGTTTAGACTGTTTTGCTTCCCTCAATCTTTACCAACTAACTTCAATAATTTCTTCATCTAAACCATCAACCTGCCTCTTAGACCCCATCCCGACTAGGTTGCTTAAAGATGTTTTACCCTTAGTCAACACTTCTATACTAGATATGATCAATCTATCTCTATCAACAGGCTATGTACCACAGTACTTTAAAGTAGCTGTAATTAAACCTCTTCTGAAAAAACTTGATCCGGATGTTTTAGCCAACTATAGACCTATATCTAACCTTCCATTTCTCTCTAGGTTCTGGAGAAAGCAGTTGCTAAACAGCTGTGTGACTTTCTACAGAGCAATAGTTTATTCGAGAATTTTCAGTCAGGATTTAGAGCTCATCATAGCACAGAGACAGCACTGTTGAAAATTACTAACGACCTCCTTATTGCATCAGACAAAGGACTTGTCTGTACTGGTTTTATTAGATCTTAGTGCTGCATTTGATACCATTGACCATCAGATCCTATTACAGAGACTGGAACATTTCATTGGCATTAAAGGAACCGCTCTAAGCTGGTTTAAGTCCTATTTATCAGATCGATTTCAGTTTTTACATGTTAACGATGAGTCCTCCATGCACGCCAAAGTTAGTCATGGAGTTCCTCAAGGATCTGTCCTCGGACCAATCCTCTTCACTTTATATATGCTTCCTTTAGGCAATATTATCAGGAAATATTCCATAAACTTTCATTGTTATGCAGATGATACTCAGTTATATCTATCGATCAAGCCAGATGAAACTCATCAGTTAGCTAAACTTCAAATGTGCCTTCAGGATGTTAAAACCTGGATGACCTGTAATTTTCTAATGTTAAACTCAGATAAAACTGAAGTTATTGTTCTGGTGCCAAGCACCTCCGTGACGCATTATCTAAAGATAAGTTTCCCTTGATGGCATCGCCCTGGCCTCCAGCACCACTGTGAGGAATCTGGGAGTTATCTTTGATCAGGACATGTTGTTTAAGTCTCACATTAAGCAAATTTCAAGGACCGCCTGTTTTCACCTACGTAATATTGCAAAAATCAGGAACATCCTGTCTAAAAGTGATGCAGAAAAACTAGTCCATGCATTTGTTACTTCTAGGCTGGATTACTGCAATTCCTTATTGTCAGGCTGCTCAAAAAGTCCATTAAGACTCTTCAGCTGATCCAGAATGCTGCAGCACGTGTTCTGACAGGAACCAGGAAAAGAGATCATATTTCTCCTGTCTTAGCTTCTCTGCATTGGGTTCCAGTAAAATCCAGAATAGAAAAATCATTCTTCTTACCTACAAAGCTCTTAATGGTCAGGCACCATCTTATCTTAAAGAGCTCATAGTACCTTACTACCCCACCAGAGCACTGTGCTCCCAGAATGCAGGGTTACTTGTGGTTCCTAGAGTCTCCAAAAGTAGACTAGGAGCCAGAGCGTTCGGCTATCAAGCTCCTCTCCTGTGGAACCAGGTTCCAGTTTGTGTTCAGGAGGCAGACACCATCTCCACATTTAAGAGTAGGCTTAAGACTTTCCTCTTTGATAAAGCTTATAGTTAGGGCTGGCTCAGGTGAGTCCTGAACCATCCCTTAGTTATGCTGCTATAGGCCTAGACTGCCGGCGGATTTCCTATGATGCACTGAGCTCCTCTCTCCTCTATTTCCTCTCCCTCTGTATGCAAACTCATCCCATTATTGCATGTTATAACACAACTTCTCCCCTTTCCGGTAGTCTTGTGCTTTCTCGTCCCTCTCCTCTCCTCCTATCACTTCCTGCAGGTGTTTCTGGCTCTGGAGCTGTGGAGTCTGAATCTGTGGCTGCAGGTCACCTGCTGCCCCTGTGTTCCTGCTTGACACCCTCTGCTACAACTATTGTTACTAGTCCTATTGTTATTATTGTTATTATAATCATTAACATTATGATTGTTATCATTAACACTACTATGCATATCTATACCATTTTTCATTTAGTCTATAGCAACATCACTTTTACTGTCTGTACCTCTGTGTGTATATTGTGTAGGCTGCCTCCCTCCCCTCTCTCTCCTTCCATCCCTCTCTCTCTCTCTCTGTTCCTCTCTCTCTCTCTCTCTCTCTCTCTCTCTCTCCTTCACCCCAACCGGTCGAGGCACATGGCCGCCCACCCTGAGCCATGGTTCTGCTCGAGGTTTCTGCCTCTTAAAAGGAAGTTTTTCCTTGCCTCTGTCGCCCAGTGCTGCTCTTGGTGGGAATCTGTAAATAACATCACAGAGTACGGTCTAGACCTGCTCTTTTATGAAAAGTGCTGTGAGATAACTTGTTGTGATTTGGTGCTATATAAATAAAATTGAATTTAATTGAATTGAACTCCAGAACCAGAAACACCTGCAGAAAGCAACAGAGAGAGAGAGGGGAGAGGGATAGAAAGCACAAGATTATGGAAGAGAGAAGAAGTGAAGTTAGTAACATGCATTTATGGGAAGAGGTTGAATACAGAAGAAAATAAAAATCTTTCTAATAAATGCAGAAAGTTGTTTGTGGTCCTTTGTTGTTCAGACCTACAGTGAACACAGACTTTTAACTAGAATCAAAAAACAAATCAAAGATAAAACAGTGTAATCTGTAATCTGTCTTCCCTTCGGCATGAAAACACTTCCAAGTTCTTGTGTATCCCATCCCATTGTGTAGGCCTATGGTGCCCTCGGTCATGGCTCCTCAGAGATCAAGATTCAAGATCAAAACCTCGATCCACAAGAACAGTTTCTTCCAACTCCAGCTGGCCTCTCTAAAAAGGCAAATTCATAGGCTATGTATAAAAGCTACATGTTAATAAGCCCGATTCTGAAATAAAATAAATAACAGGCTTATAGACTGTATAAACCAACGCCTTTGATGCCTGGACGCCTAATTATACAGTTCCTGTTTCATCCCGATAGGGGCGCTACTCTGCCACGCCGCCTTAATGTCTTCCGGTACAAAGCCTTCATTGCCCCGCTTCGTTCATCCAACAGTCCTTCCGGTTTGACCGACATCGCAGATAGCAGGTAGGATTTAATGTGTACAACCATGAACTAAAATCTACGTATTATCTCTGCCATCCATCGATTTTAACCAAAGAATTCGACACTACACCAATCTTTGGACTTCACGTAACAACTATGTCTATTCATGTACCACAGAAATAAATGAAACGTGTATTTTAGGTTAACACAATGTAGCTACTGATAAGCTCCTGAATTCTGTAACGTTACTTATTGTTTGCAAGCAGCAACCGCACACATTTCAGCACGACAACTATGGATATTGTTGAGCGTCTGTGTTGGATATAGTTTAGGCCTATATAAAGTCATGTTCTATCGCTTCATGTCCGGTTTGAAGGCTTTCCACCCGCGGTTGATCACTAACGTTACCGCGTCTCTGCTTGGGGGATGTGACATCTTCACTTACATTTACAAACTTTGCACTTGAGTTGATGATTGTGTGTGTTGTCTTCTGCAGATATGGCTATTCGCTACCCCATGGCCGTTGGCCTTAATAAAGGCCATCCTGTCACCAAAATATAACTGCTCCAAAACACAGCCGCCGACGCGGGGTGAGTATCTGCTGTTGACTAGTTTTCCTTCCAGCTACTCTCAGGTAGATAAGTTATCTGCTCTCATGGCTGTAAACCACTCTTCATTTTCAATAGATTGTGATATTCAATGACCAGATTTTAGAAAAGATGTATTCAGATGTACACGAAATGCACATAGCTTAAGTTTGCACGATTAATTTAATCGCAATCGTCGTCACGTGGGATAATTACCTAACCGCAAAACGGGTGCGATTTAATAAAACAAAGTGTGTGTGACGCTGACTTCTCTTTGTACCTGCAGTCTACTCATTATCCAC